TACAGGTTTGGTTCAAATTAGATGTTTGTAATGTCCAAATACATAGTCTATAGTTTCTTATATCAGTATCCTTAAGTTGTATGTCATGTGGTATGTTGAATACAGGTTTGGTTCAAATTAGATGTTTGTGATGTCCAAATACAGTCTATAGTTTCTTATATCAGTATCCTTAAGTTGTATGTCATGTGGTATGCTGAATACAGGTTTGGTTCAAATTAGATGTTTGTGATGTCCAAATACAGTCTATAGTTTCTTATATCAGTATCCTTAAGTTGTATGTCATGTGGTATGTTGAATACAGGTTTGGTTCAAATTAGATGTTTGTGATGTCCAAATACAGTCTATAGTTTCTTATATCAGTATCCTTAAGTTGTATGTCATGTGGTATGTTGAATACAGGTTTGGTTCAAATTAGATGTTTGTGATGTCCAAATACATAGTCTATAGTTTCTTATGAATTAGAAACTCAAGTTATCAATATTGACAAGCTACAATATAAAAATAAGACCTCCTATTTTTACTATTTTCTTAAATATTATTATATTTACTGAATCGACCAAGGTAGCCCCACCCACATCTTCCATTTTTGGAAATACTTGTTTACAAGCATCTACTTTGCTCTATGATGTGTTTATAACAAATCAAAAGCTCAGAATTTCCCTCGTGTGGTTTTTTCAGCCTTTGCAAAGAGTTTATGTGGGAAAAAAACCATCTTTTTTGTTGTAGACTTGAATGTGAGAGGTAAGAGAAAATAGGGCTTGAAATAATTAGTTACTAAGTTACTAAGCCTAATAAATTATAGTTAAATTTTGTAGTATTAATATACTTATTTATGATTTTTTTTTATTTCAAAATGCATATATAAAACCTAAAAAAATTATTTTGTTTTACATCCTCCATGTGCAAAATGTGACAAGGCTTAGCAAATTACATCAAATGAGTACAAATTTCATAAGTAAAAGAAATCATTGTTTTCTAAATTTATTTATTTACTGTTCTATGTTTTAAAAAAAATAACTGAAATTTAAGAATTTATTTGTAAATCGTAATAATATATGTATATACATAAGTAATGTATTATAACCAAAATGTTATTCTATTATACAAAATACTGGTCCACTAGTAAAAAGCTAAAACAGTTGCATATGTATATACATAAGTAATGTATTATAACCAAAATGTTATTCTATTATACAAAATACTGGTCCACTAGTAAAAAGCTAAAACAGTTGCATTTTATTAAGGCCAGATTTATACTATTGGATACAGTAACATAAGCTGCTTTGGTTTCCAGGAATACCACAAGTTTTATAGCTTCTCATTTTAATCTAAAATTTACCCAGTTTTTGATATATTATTTATATATGATCCAGGAAACCATTAAGTAGACTTCATTTTAGCTGTTTTTGTTCCTTTGTTATAGCCTCCCATATGTTAAATGGAAGCACGAGTTGTTATGGGTAAACCTAAAAGAAATGTTAGATTTAAACAGTGTTACACCTGATCTCAAATAAGTTGGTTGATGGGAAGACATCATCGGGAAAGAGTATCTGTCAATCAATTGACAAGGCCAACAGAAAGTGACTGTCCAGTGCCAAACACGAGCAGTGTGTTTTGTGCCTGACTAAATAAAAATTGTTCTTATTTTGTTACACATATTTCTGTTTAATTCCAAGTCAGTTTAGAAAGTTGGCATCACTTTATAATTTCTCTGGCCAATCAGTGCTCAAATTCAGTGGGAACGGTATTTCCCTTGTTTACATTACGAGACTTGAGGCACCTAAACTGACAACAAAATAAAGATAGAGCATTAGCCAGCCTTATGTAACCCAACACATTACTAAATTGATTTGTCACTTGTTTATTAATTAGAATACGTAGAAGTAACCTTACCTAGCAGCATCATAACTAGACGACTCTCATTAATAAAAGTTGTGATTTGATGTAGGCTCAACTCATAAACTATTTGAAGTAAACTAGACTCAAAGTCCCATAGAAACTCTATAAACCTGAGTGCTAATTAGAATACTCAGAAGTAACCTTACCTAACAGCATCATAACTAGACGACTCTCATTAATAAAAGTTGTGATTTGATGTAGGCCCAACTCATAAACTATTTGAAGTAAACTAGACACAAAGTCCCATAGAAACTCTATAAACCTGAGTGCTTAACTTCTAAATTAGAAACATTTAATTCAATAACAATTAATATTTATAGGGGGGAAAAAAAATTAACATCAGTATGAATAGTAATATTGATAATAAAAAATCATTGGTAAATTAAAAGATTCATTATGTCTAGAGAATACCTTCATTACAAAGATAATTCATTAAACGTGAGCATTCGGGTTTAGTATTTTTCTTTTTCATTCCTTTTTGTGATCCTATATTATTTTAAAGCAAAAATTATATGTAATACAACACTCAATAGAACAAAGACCACATTTCAGTAGATACAATAAATAAATACAGACCATACCAACTTGTTTTAATATTGTTGGGTTTCAGTAAGCTGATATTGTATCAAATTGAATAGCTTTTATGTATTTAGTTATTACAACAGACAGCATAAGAAACCAACCAGAAATAATAGTATTTTTCATTTACTTTTTCTTTTTTCCTTTTATATTACTTGGAGCCCTTTAATCAACAAATTCTTACACCTACAAGCAAATTGCTGCATAAATAGTTTAGAAAAATGTATTCAAAAAGCTGATTGGAGGTCAATACTGGTCCCAATGGTAATTCTAGGTTATTACTGAAGAATAAAGAAAAATATTATAATAGATAAAAACTGCATTAACTTGAAAGTTACTTTATGTGTAATAAAGTTGAAAAATAATGAAATATACATAAAAATCATGAAAAACATACCTTGTTTGGGGGTTCTTCTTTGTCTAGCTGGATCTTAACTTGACTTAGTTCTTCAGAAATGGTTTTCTATCATCTATAAGATTTTGTAGATGGTGTTCAACCTCCTTGCTACTCACAACTACAGCCAATTCATGGTTCAGCCATTGCTGGAACAATACCCTTAAGTTTTAACACATACACAACAGAAATGCTTTACACACAGTCATGTAACAGACCGTATCAAAAATTCTTAGAATTTGCTATTATTATATCTTAAACTATAATACAGATAAAAATCTCACATTTTACTCTATATAAGAAGCTTATACAATAATATATTACAAAGTATACATACCTGACAGCTTTTGAAAATTAGAAATATTACAAATTCTTTGTGGCAAAACCTGAAACACAAGGTGTTGAACGTATGCAAGTCTAAAAACATCAGAACTAGTTACGTTTTTCTTGTTTTCTTACTAAATGATTCTTCCAACTCAAGTATGCCGAAATCTTTTCACAGATAAATTTTCTAACTCACACTATAATGTCAGTCTTGAAGGATAACTTAGTTATTTAAAATTAATTTAAGTTTTAAATACATGTTAAGACATGACAGAATTCAGTAAATCCTACTTTATCCAATCCAGGCTCTCTGATACAACTTCCCATTACTTTAGCTCGTTTAAGGGTTGCCTAAAGCTTTATCAAAATCCTCAATGTTTCCTCGCTATACATATTAAAGGATCATATGTCACAGATACTGCTCCTTTTAATACCCTGCTTAAAATGCAAGCTTCATTTATAATCATGATGTTAATATAATTTGAGAATTATTCAGTTTCAAGTACAGTTGGAACCACACTATTGCTATCACCTGTTTTACCATTATGAACTGTGGGTGCTTTGTACCATTATATTATCCTTATGCATCAAGTAAATGTAAACAGAAAATGTTTTGAGATAAATTTAGGTCTATTTATGAGTGCTCTAAAATATATTGTGGAAAATTAGTGAAAACTTTCAATTCAATACAGTGACTGACACTCATTTGAGAGTAATAGATATTTTGAACTAAAATGCTTGTTGGTAATAAGATTATTGAAATAAGCTATATCAAAACACGATTAGTTACCATCTGACTTCCAGCTTAATCTATACTTATAAAACTACTATTTAAATTATCCAGGTGGAAGTCAACATCATCAGATCAACATACTAAATTGAGCAAAAACAGCATACATTTTTAATTTTAGTTCTATTTATAAAATGTATGGAATTTTTAGATGTTTTTTGAATGCTGAGAATACTGCAAATACAAACAACTAATATTTAGAATAAAAAAAACATCATCTGCCATTCTTCTTTTAACCATGATCAAACAGAAAATAGATGGAAATCATTAACACAGTACTAAGAGATTTAATTTCAATATGGGTCAATTGTGATTCAGCTGGCACTGTTTGAAAATTGTAAACAATTTATAATTTGTAAAATGGTAGCCAAAGTTTTACCCCTTACAGTCAAAATGTAATAACTGCCACAGGTATTTTACAATTTTCAGAATCTGAAAGACCATTCAGTCTACTAATACTGCCACAAAATTTTGAAAAATATTTAACATTTTTTCTTTCAAGATATGTACTAACACATTAGAAATTAGCAGGTAACCAGATCTAATAACATTTTACATACAAAGAGTACAGTTAAAATGTATACAAGTGAAAATAACAGTAGGAATATTTTTTCTGTTGGTATAATTTGCTAGCCAGCACCAATTGCAGAAAAAAAAACATTGACATCTGTTTGCATAAGTAATAAAAATTTAAAGTTAGAAAAATATAACTATGGATGTTTTCTTTAATGCTTGATTTTACAAAAATGTAAAAAAAAGTGGTTTATTTTCGTGACAAAGGTAGTTTACATGATAAAGCTTGTATAACAAGACTTATTTGTTTAAATATGCCATTTTGCAAATGTTTCAAATATGGGTGTTTAGTGGTTATTACTAACCAATTAATCTTCACGCTCAAATAATGGATTATTCTTACACAAGATTTGGATAGTTGAAAAGTATAATAATCAGAAACACTAATTTTATTCAGTTAATTATTTTCATGATATCAGTTGATTTAATTGTAAGGTCAGTGACACCAACCGATACCCACAGGTAATCAATTATACTAAATAATGGAGTTAATTGCCCAGATTTAGTTCAAATGTTAATAAATATTTGGGTATATTAACTTCTAAAAGTGGTTGTTAACAATCATCATCTAAGAATTTACTTAAATTATGTGTTTAAGTCTTTACTGTATCATAACGAAAGGAAGATGTCATTTCTAAACATGCAAATATCTTTCCTAGAAAACATCAGTGAATTACATAAACACAATATTTGAATATACTGTAACCATACACTTAATATGCTAGTGTCATAATCTGAATATATATACAGTTCTTTCTTTAACCTTCTTACTGCATATATGTCACAACCTTTTACAGACTTACATTCAAACTTTAATTAAACTGTTATATTATCAACCAGCAAAAGTACCCAACTTCGCTAGGGTTATTAGGTTGATATATTCTAGATGACTGTCAGTGTGTGTAAGCATAAAAGTATAACCTATATACTTTTCTTGCTAAGCAACATGACATAAAAGCCATTGTTGGAATGCATTGTTACCAAAATGCACTGGCTTTTCTATATATATATATTAGAGGTTGTTATATGAGGAGCCACTTCTTTTCTACATGGTTTTTCCCTAGCTTGCCTCATTAAAAAGATGTGCATGTGTGCACACATGTGTATAAAATAAGTAATACCCAGGTGCACACCCTCAGGGTCCACTTAATGTGGGTCCAAAATTTCAAGTTTCTAGGTTCTTTCCTCTTGGAGCTATGGCAGACACATTTCTTTTCTATGTGGTTTTTCGCATAAAAAAGATGTGCATGCACATAGATAAGTAATAATACTCAGGTACAAACCTACTTAGTATGAGGCATAATTTCAGTTTTCTACATTCTTTCCTCTTGGAGGTATGGCAGTCACACATAATCAGACATGCATGTGCACGTCTGTCTGTGATTTATGTATGTAATATAAGGAACCACTTCTTTTCTAAAAGTTTTTTCATTACCATGTCTCTTTAAAAAGATGTGCATGCACGTGGATAAGATAAGTAAGAATACACAGGTGTACACCCTCATGGTTCACTTGGTATGGGTACAAAATTCCAGGTTTCTGGGTTCTTTGCTCTTGGTGTTATGGTCGTCACACACACACATAGACACACCCTTTTATTATTATATATGTATATATATATATTAGTATCCTTTTTGGTACAAGAAAGGAATCACTGAGATCCAAGACAGAAGAGTTCTATGAAAAAAGTTAGAGCAATAAAGTTCATCATTTTATCTATATGCTTGTCTGAAAGAGTCGCTTGTATACTTACTTAGATGAAAATTCATTAAATTGAGAAATTTTGATTCACCCCATAAACATATATAATGTTTTAGGCAGCTTTATAAGTACAACAACCTCGAGTTTTTCAGCCAATACTGTGAAACAGTTATTGTTAATATTCAGGTGGTTTTGAACATGAGATATTTATGGCCACCATTTTGTCTTATCCTGATCCCTACTATTAAAGCACTGCCGTGCTTAATAATATTCTTACAGGCTTTAAGCTACTTGGGACAAACAACTATAGTTTCATGTTACAATTTGCAGTCATTCTTGAAAGAAAAAAGGGTAATATTAGTTAATTTTGTATCTTTTTTTTATGGTAGTTACAAGGTCGATCAAATCAACAGAATACATATAGAATCAGGGTAGAGAAAATAACAGATAAGATATAAATTTTACTGAAAAAAAGTTTGATATTTATTTATGAGATTTTAGAGATTATGTAAATGAAATTTGACAATTTTCAGATCACACAAAAATAGCCATGATATGTGCTATAGTCTGAAAAGAATGGCAAAGAATAGTAGAAAATTGGTTAATTTTAAAAAGCCTAGTGCATTTCAACTTGAAATTTAGATATTCATGCAGAATTAATGTTAACACATGTTGTGTACCTCCTATATTTATGCACTAATAACAATATTAAAAAAATAAACTTCCCATAAAATTATTCTCTAGTCATATAAAATAAAGAAAAACATTGGGCTATCTGCTGTGTCCACCACTTTCTACTGTTCCACTGGAGGACAATAATCAACAAACATAGGCATGTCCACCTCTGTCAAGTTTACACCTTTCCTCTGACATTTTTGAGTTCAAGCATCATAAGTTTGTCAAATCACAAGTAGAACTTGTTGAAACCACCGTTAATCTCTCTTACCTTGCACATATTTTCATCATCCACTTTTAGCAGTATTGTAATCTTGGAATGAACATGACAACAACACATATGATATTTCTAATAATGTGCCAATCTATTTGGCAGACCCAAGCCCAATGTTTGCTATTCGTCAAACAGATATTTACTCTAGTATATACTTCAGGGACTTTTAGGGATTTTTAGGGATACTTCAGGGATTTTTCATTTAAAATATAAAGTTTTAAGTCTGTGATGTAATAGACTTGGAGGCAGTTAAGTACAGTACTACATGAGGTTGTTGCTTTATGTTGCATGTTAGATATCAGTTTTATTATGTTTTGAACAAGTCTTATTATTAAGAAATGATTCTAAAATGTGCACAGCTGATGTATTTGCTCTGTGTCTAGCCCATGGAAACCATCTGTGTGGATGAAAATTTCATGCAGGTTGGCAGTTTCCCACTTTTTTAAACACACTACTGGCCATTTATGAGATTAATATGCATTTGATGAGAAAATCTGAAATATTTGGGAAAGGGGTTTAAGTTGGAAATTGAGAACAAAATTCACCATAGACAGGAATCTGTGTACTGTCTGTCAGTTGCATAAGAAATGTAGTGATTTTTATTCCAATATAAGTAGTAAATTTATAAAATAAAAATAAATAAAATTTAGGTTATTAAATGATCAATAATTATTATTCTTTATGTCCATGTTTTAGATATGATTACAACTATCCTAAGGTCATGGTTAACAGTTGGATCAGTTAATAACATGGATTTTATAATGTACAACTTGCTATAATGTTGCTTTTTTAAATCAGAGACAAAGTTTTCATACAATCCAGAGAATGGTACACAAAAGCTCTCCATTACAGACACCTTACAAGGCAAAAACAAACAAACAATGTCTCTAAAAACCATATATCCTAAGGAAATCCATTAAACTGTATCAAAATGTTGTCTCCATCAAAGAAACCTTCTAGTAATTTTAACACATGAGTAATTAATATTTATTAATACAAACAAAGACAATATACTGCAATATGGCTGGAATAAGTAGATGACAGTTTTCTGAAACTTACTTTTATACTTAATCAAAATTTTGATTAAAAGTTCCACATCATAACTGTTTGGCTAATATAAACTCTTAAATAAATTTTAAAAAACTGTAATTCGAAGATGGAAAAGTGAATATATCATGACTGATCACTGTTTTTACAGAGGCAACGGTCTATTAGAATCCTACCCTGACACGTGATCCAACTCCTTGCATACTTTGTTCTTTCTCTTTTCCCCGTCTCTCTGAGACAGCTTTCTGTTGTAGCAAGGCTTCCTGTAATCGACGATTTGCTGCCACGGCACCTTCCATTTTTCGCCGAAGAACAGTCTGCTGTTTGGAGAACATTTTTTCCATTTTAACTAGCTCAAATTGTCTTTTGCGGTCCTGCTGGCGAAGCTTGGCAACTTCCCTGTCTTTTTCTTGTTTCCAGTGACGATACTTTTCTGCCTCTTCTTTCATTTGTCTAAGGAGCCTCACACGATTCTGCTTCATACTCTAGTGGAACATGGTTAGTCTCATGATTATTTTTGTCAATTGGAAAAATATTTTAATAGAGGAGACCCTACAACACATTTATAAACATATTATTACAATACAACAATTATTTAGCTTATTGTTTAGATAATTTTTACTCATTGAAATAATGTTTTTGAGTTCAATACTAACATTAGTCACAACTACAGTCATTTACAATCTATGAAAATTCCTTCTGTGTTAAAACCAAAACAAAGCATGATCCACTAGTAGGTAAAGACTATTAATTATTATATGTAAATAGTCAAATTTAACTAGAATTATGAAAAGTTATTGTAATGTAATCTCACATCTACTACCTCTTAAATTATATTATTTTTACTACATCTAGAACTGAATGGATGTTCTCAGCAATACCTATAAGGAACAGGTTGACTTTTTTCCATATTAAAATACTATTTTTCTCAAAGCTTATCTTTCCTTTATGTTACAGGTCTATTGATATTTCTAACTTTTTATCATATAATACAGAGAATAAAAAATGACCTTAACCTTTCATTCTCAGATAAAAACAAATTTTATATTTTAAAGCTATCACAATTACTAAGATAACAATTATAATGGAAATTAGAATTTATTTAAACACTATATTATCTCCCATTATCACCTGCATTGAAATAAAAACATACATCTCAAAATTTTAATTTTTTATTCTGTTTCTTGACCATTTGCACTAGCCAATTGCAATTGAATTAAGGATTTCAAATTTTAATAATTTGTCACTTTTCTCCCCAACATCTAGAAAGATAAACGTCAATAATATTTATAAGACTTTTTAATTTCTTACCGTAATTTCTTGTTGAAGATTTTTGACTTTCTTATCTGCTTCTTCCTTCATTTTCAACATTCTTGTATGCTCCACCATTTTTTTCTTCAGTTGAGAAATTTGCGTTTCACATTCTTGAAGTCGTTTTCTGCGCTGTTCACTTACCCTATTTTAACAAAAATACACTAACTTTTACCCACTCTAGTTCACTTACCCTATTTTAACAAATATACACTAACTTTTACCCACTCTAGTTCACTTACCCTATTTTAACAAAAATACACTAACTTTTACCCACTCTAGTTCACTTACCCTATTTTAACAAATATACACTAACTTTTACCCACTCTAGTTCACTAACCCTATTTTAACAAAAATACATTAACTTTTACCCACTCTAACAATATTAGATAGTAAGGCAATAATAACTGTAGTTGTTTATACTCACATCAGTACATTTTAAACAACCAGAAATAACAACAAAATATGAATGATAATGAAGCAACGGGAAATTTTTGAGGAAATTTCATCCATTGCTTCTATGAATTTGAATGATTTAAAAGTATTTAAAGGTATAATTAAAAATGAAGACTTTAAAAGTTAAAAGAGAGTAAATAAGTTGGAAAAGATATAAAAAAGAAAGGGGACAAGAAGACGCCTGTGTGTTATAAAAAATAAGCCTTGAGAGATAAGTAATCAGGAACGAGGTTAGAACTTCAGTGAGTAATAGCACAGCATGTGCATAAGCTATAGAAACAAGCATGGGAGATTAGTAACCTGAAGGTCAAAGTAGAGTTAGTTAATAACCTCGTTAGTCATCACTATTGCATCATGTCTTGTAAACGAACGCCAACGTACATGGCCAAGAAAGAGGATGTTGGCCTCGATTCTTTAGCACTGTAGAAGCTACAGAAAAGTTTATATTTTATGAATCATCCCGGTGCTTTGATGCAATATCAGTTACAGTACATGGGTGTAGCAGTACAAGCAAGTAGGCAGCCAACTAACAGCAGTTGCCCATGACCAATAGCCTGAGGGTTTTGGCTTGGTGCCTAGATTAGCCCAGGAATTGCCCACAAGCATCCAATAGGAGCACCGCACTACTTGTGGGTGATGCTGTGTCCTATTTGGATACTCGCCAGGATACAGAGAAATTCTGCTATATAAACCCATGTCAGGAGCTGGAAAATCAGTTCTCCGGCGAGTTCTTCAGCCAGCCCTAAGAAGCTCTCCAACCATGCAGCTTAATAACCTAGACACTGCTGTCCATGTTCCAACTCTACAGTAAGTATCTCTCTCTCTGGATCAGCTTTTGTATAATGTATTAAATTATCGAAGAAGTGTTATTAATGTTTAAGTGGTTAAGAAGTTGAGTAATAAATGATATGG